GATGCTGACGATGCTACGGCTGGTGATGATGACGATGATGATGATGATGCTGTTGATGTTGATGATGATGATGATGATGATGATGATCATTGCGATGATGCTTCTGATGATGCTGAGGATGACGGTGGTGGTGATGATGATGCTGATCATGCTGATGACTACGACGATGATGCTGATGATGGTGATGATGCTGATGACGATGATGACGAGTAGGATGATGAGTAGGATGATTCTGATGATGATGATGATGATGATGATGATGATGATGATGATGAGGTGGGGGATGCTGCTGATGCTGATGACGATGCTGCTGCTGCTGCGGCTGCTGCTGCTTATGCTGATGATGATGCTGCTTATGCTAATGCTGATGCTGCTGATGATGCTAATGCTGCTGATGCTGATGCTGATGATGCTGATGTGGATGCTGCTGCTGCTGATGATGATGCTGCTGATGATGATGCTGCTGATGATGATGATGATGGTGATGATGACGACGACGATACTGATGATGATGATTCTGATGCTGATGCTGATGCTCATGCTGATGCTGCTGCTGATGCTGATGAAGGATGACGATGATTGTGGTGGTAGTGATAATGATGCTGATGCTGATGACGAGGCTGATGCTGCTGATGACAATGATGATGATGATGATGATGATGATGATGACGACGATAATAACGACGACTCCGACGACGATGAAGACGATGCTGATGCTGATGCTGATGCTGATGATGATGCTCATGCTGATGATGATGATGGTGATGATGCTGATGCTGATGCTGAAGTCGCTGATGCTGTCGCTGATGCTGATGCTGATGATCATGTTGCTGGTGCTGGGGATGATGATGCTGCTGATGCTGCCGCTGATGCTTATGCTAATGATTAATGATGCTGCTACTGATTCGGATGCTGCTGCTGAGGATGATGATGCTGATGCTGATGATGATGGTGGCGGTGGTGATATGATGGTGGTGATGATGATGCTGATGCTGATGCTGGTGCTGATGCTGATGATGCTGATGATGCTGATGATGCTGATGATGCTGATGTTGATGACGTTGACGATGATGATGACGATGATGATGATGATGATGATGATGATGGTGATGATGATGATGAGGGTACTACTGACTATGACGATGCTGATGATGATGATGATGAATATGATGAGGATGCTGATGATGCTGATGATGATGGGGTGGTGGTGGTTGTGATGATAATAATGAATATGGAGGGGCTGATGATGATGCTGCTGATGCTGATGATGCTGATGCTGATCATGATGCTGATGATGATACTGAGGCTGATGATGCTGATGCTGATGCTGATTGCGATGATGATGTTGATGCTGATGCTGACGCTGCTGCTGATGATGCTGATGCTGATGCTGATTCTGGTGATGATGATGATGATGATTCTCCAATTAGGCTTGCCCTATAGGAGTCCTTCTCCGATCCCTAATTCATATGCCCCCCCCCTCCCCCAATTCCTATGACTATGCCTATGCCTATGCCTCCCCCTAACTCCTATGCCTACGCCTATGCCTATGCCTGCTTGCTTGCTTGCTTGCCTTTACGCTGGCTTGCTTGCTTCCTTGGTTGCGCGGTTGCTTGCACGCTTGCTTGATTGCTGAGTTGCGGATTCCAAGCATGATTGATTTCGTTGATCCCTTGATTTGAGTCGCCTAACCTATTTGGGGTCAACGGTGGCTGATATGACAATGATGATGGTGATGGTGGCGATGGTGGTGATGCTGCTGATGATTGAGATGATGTTGATGTTGATGACGATGATGATGTTGACGATCATGCTGATGCTGGTGCTGCCAATGACGATGCTGCTGATGATGCTGATGCTGACGCTGACCTTGCTGCTGATGATGCTGATGCTGATGATGATGCTGATGATGATGATGTTGATGCTGATTGTGCTAATGACGATGCTGATGATGATGATGGTGATGATAATGATGGTGGTAGTGGTGATGACGATGATGATGATGGTGATGATGCTGATGAGGCCGACGATGATGATGATGGTGATGATGACGATGATGATGATGTCGATGATGATGATGCTGCTGCGGATCCTGTTGCTGCTGATGATGATGCTGATGATGCTGATGCTGACGCTGATGCTGCTGCCGATTACAATGCCGATGGTGCTGATGCTGATGCTGATGATGATGATGATGGTGACGCTGGTGATGATGCTGATGATGATGGTGGTGATGATGCTGATGATGATGGTGGTGGTGATGGTTGTGGTGGTAATGATGATGGTCATGCTGATGATGATAATGATGATGATGATGATGATGATGATGATGATGGGGATGCTGATGTTTGTGATCATGCTGATGATGCTGATGATGACGATGTGTACGATGATGATGATGATGTTGCTGATGGGATTGATGATTCTGACGATGATGATGACGATGTTGATAATGTGTATGATGATGACGATGCTAATGATATGCTGTTGCTGCTGATGATGTTGATGAAGATGATGATGCTGACGACCAGGATGATGATTATGATGATGATGATGATGATGATGATGATGATGATGATGATGATGCTGACGCTGATGCTGATGACGATGCTCATGCTAATGCTGATGCTGCTGATCATGATGCTGCTGCTGATGATTCTGATGCTGATGATGGTGCTGCCGATTTTAGTGGTGGTTATTGTGATGCTGGCGATGACGATGATGATGATGATGACGACGGTGATGGCGAGGATGATGATGATGATGATGGTGATGACAAAGATGCTGCTGCTGGTGATTCTGATGCTGCTGACGCTGATGCTGATGCTGATGATGCTGATGCTGCTGGTGCTCATGTTGATGCTGATGATTATGATGATGATGATGATGATGATGATGATGATGATGATACTGCTGAGGATGATGATGCTGGTTGTGGTGATGATGGTGATGGTGATTGATGATGCTGATGATGCTGATGATGATGATTATGATGATGATGACGACGACGAACATGACGATGACCATGATGATAATGATGATGATGATGATGATGATGATGATGTTGATGTTGATGATGATGCTGCTGATGATGTTGATGACGATGATGATGATATGGTGCTGATGATGATGATTATGCGGATGCTGGTGCTGGTGCTGCTGCTGATGCTGCTGATGCTGCTGATGCTGCTGATTCTGCTGACGATGATGATGATCGTGATGTGGACGACGACTGCGATGATGATGATGCTGCTGATGATGATGGTGATGGTGATGCTCATGATGAGGACAATGATGATGCTGCTGATGATAAAGATGATGCTGATGCTGATGCTCATGATGCTCATGATGCTGATGCTGATGCTGATGCTGCTGCTGATGATGGTGGTGGATGCTGATGATGACGATGATGATGATGGTGCTTATTTTGATCATGATGCTGGTGATGATGACGATGATGATGATAATGATGATGATGTTGATGATGATAACGGTGAGGATGATGATGGTGATGGTGGTGGTGATGGTGACGATGATGACGACGATGATACGGCTGGTGATGATGATGACGATGACGATGACGATGATGATGATGCTGATGATGATGCTGATGATTATGTTGGTGATGCTGCTTCTGATGATTATGAGGATGACGGTGGTGGTGATGATGATGACGATTACTACGACGATGATTCTGATGATGCTGCTGATGATGATGCTGATGATAATGATGATAATGATGATGATGATGATGATGATGATGATGATGATGATGATGATGATGATGATGATGATGATGATGCTGATGCTGCTGATGATGATAATGGTGATGGTGATGATGACGAGTAGGATGCTGATTAGGATGATGATGAGGAGAAGGGGGATGCTGCTGATGATCATGATGATGATGATGCTGCTGCTGCTGCGGCTGCTGCTGCTGTTGCTGCTGCTGATGATGACGATGATGATGATGGTGATGCTGATGCTACTGATAAGGTTGGTGCTGGTGATGATGATGCTGATGATGATGCTGATGATGATGATGATGATGATGATGACGATGATGATGATGATGATGATGATGATGATGATGATGATGATGATGATGATGATGCTGCTGCTGCTGCTGCTGCTGATGATGATGATGATGATGATGATGATGATGATGATGATGAGGAGGAACAGATGGCGGCGGGAGGATGGAGGAGGTAGGCGGGGAGAACCGGCAACGATGTTGAGGAAGGAGGGAGGGAGTGATCAGGATGGAGGAGGAAGGGAGTGATGATAATGGAGGGGTATACATGGAAGGGGGATGGAGTGAGACTCAAGCGAGCCCCGAGGGGAGCTCCAGTATTGGAGGCTCCACGACACCAGAAGCGTTCCTGAGTAGGAGCAGGGGGTCGGACGGAGTTCTGCGCTGTCGCTTCAGCCCCCTTGCCCTGGAGGTCCCTGAGGTTTCGAGAGGCCCTCAGAGGCTTCAGAGGCTCTCCAGAGGCGCCCCTTAAGAGGAAACAACGTGCAAAACCTCGAATGTCGATAATCGATCCTCGATCCCCTCCTCCTCCTCTTCCTCCTCAATCCCCCCCTTCTCTCCTGTTTCCCTCCTCCCTCCTGCCTCCCTCCTGCCTCCCTCCTCCCTCCCTCGCTCCTCCCTCCTCCCTCCTCTTTCCTCCCTCCTCCCTCCTCCCCCTTCCCTCCCTCCCTTGCTCCCTCCCTCCCTCCCTCCCTCCCAGCTGCCGCCCCGGTCCGAGGTGTTTGGGACTGCTCCAGGAGCAGCGCACCTCGCGCGGGGCGGGCAGCCATGCGTGCCGGCCGCCTCGCCTCGCCGTGCCCAGGCGAGTGGAGGGCTAGCCGCGGGCACCGAGAGTCTTCCGGCTGGCGCCATGGCGACCAGCCGAGACCGGGCCTGCGCGCCGCTGTGCGCAGGCTCGGTTTCGCTGCCCAGACTGGTCGCCGGCCGCTCATGAGCGACGTGGCCAGTCTCGCTCGCGTCGCTGCTCATGCCGATCGCGAGCCTCATCGTGCTGGTCGCGCTGGTGCGCCGGAGCAGGAGGCTGCGGCTGCGGGCGAGGCCCGTGCTCGTGATCGTGCTCGTGATGCTCTTGCTGAGCCATTGGCGGCTTGCAAGCTCGTGCTCGTGTGCCTTCCACCTACATCACCGAGTCCGGCGCGTTTGCTGCAGCAGCCTCGTGTGCTACCGTCGCCGCCACCTGGAGAGCCTCGCCATGCGGGCGCGGGCCAGCAGGGCGATGGCCGCCTGCGGTCGGCCTCGCGCCGTCGCCGCCGCTGCCAGCCCGAGGCCGAGCCGCGTCCGCGATCGGGTTCGCGCGTGCGGCTCGCCACCGCGGAGGACGAGATCGTGCAGCAGGTGACGGCTGAGGCACAGGCCACCGCCGCTGTCGTGTCCTTGAGTGCCAGGTGCCAGGCGACGGCATGCCGGAACGCGTAGCCCAGACGCCGCGCCGCCGCTGCGCGCGGTGCCGGTGAGGGTCAGCCGCGCGTCGACGAGGTGGTCGCCGAGGCCGCCGCGGATGCAGCGACGACGCCCGATGCCACAGAGGCTGTTCCTCCGGCATTCGGGATGAGCCGGCCGCCGCAGCACGCGGCCGACCGCGTGGGCGAGGCCCGCGCCGCGGCTGCTGCTGCCCTTGTGCAGCTTGCTGAGAGCCAAATGGTCGCTGGTGCCCCTGAGGCTGCACCGCCTGCGGCTGCTCTGCCTCGGCCGTCGCCGATGGAGAGGCTGCCGCGGGTGCCGCGGGTGCCGCAAGCCGAAACTCTGCGAGCCGATGCTGCCTCAGAGGCTGTTCCTCCTGAGGCTGCTCCGCCCACGGCTGCTCCGCCTACGGCGATGCAGAGGGTGCAGCGCGTGCAGCCTACCACGGACATCCAGGCGGCGGACGGCGCGGTCCGCCTCCTTAAGCAGCAGCTGTCCAGGGTCGAGGCCGTGCTGTACTGGAGGGAGAAGGCGGCCCCACACTCCCCGCAGGTGCAGGACTTCCGGTGGAGGGCGTGCGAGCTGCGGCGCCTGGTGGATGAGGCCGTCGGGTGGCGGGCCGCGCTGGACCCTGGAGGCCCCCCCGGCGCCGCCGCTGTGCAGGCTCGGGCCGCTGCTGCGGCCGGGCCGCCGCCTACTGGGAGAGCCGGCTCCTGCGAGAGCCCAGGCAGGCGGGACTGAGGCAGGCATGGCGTATAGATAATCGTGCTGCTGTGTATCTCTTTGTGCGCTGCGAGGGTGCGAAGATGCCTCAGCTTGCACTGATTCCGCGTGGTAGTTTCCGTTGTGGTGCCTCCACGCGGCTGCATTTTCCTTGCCGAGCTTCATGACATGTAATACACACATCAGAGGAGGTGAGGATCGGGATGGAGGCGTTTCTCGGCGCGGCCCGTGCACTCTCGCGAGCACTGCTCGATTACAGAGCCGGTGTGTTCTCGCAGAGGAGGGCCGGCGAGCGAGAGAGAAGAGGGATTAGGGCCCAGGTCTGCGTCCCAGCCTTACCTTCCCCTCGTCTTCCTCATCATCCTCCCCCCTCCACCCATTCCCATCCCGAGCGGCCGAGAGCCGGCGGAACGGCGGTCGTTCTTGAGCGATCCCAGATGCCAGCCCAGCTGCTTGATGCTTTGGGTTGTGAGGAGTGGCTGTCGGTGGGAGCAGCTTCGCTCCCTCGCCGCGTCTTTTTCCGAGGGCTCAGGGCCGAGGTCGTCGTCCCAGCCTTACCCTCTCCTCCGCTGCTGCCTCCCTCTCGCCCTCCCTCCTTCATCCACTGTGTTGTAGCGGAGGGCCGGCGATCGATAGAGGCGACAGTCGAGGGCCGGCGAGCGAGCTCATCGATTTCTCTGCAGCATTGCTCTCTCGCCCAGTTGTTCCCGAGCGAGGAGGCTCCAGGTCTGCGTCCCAGCCTTCATTATTCCTCCTCCTCCCGTCCCTACTCCACAGTGCCCAGGCCGTTGCAGCAAACCCCTTTAGCGTTTGCCGGCCAAGCTGCGTATTGTTGAGGGTGGGGGTTCAGGATGTCAGAGGAGGGGGGGATCGGGATGGAGGCGTTTCTCGGCGCGGCCCGTGCGCTCTCGCGAGCACTGCTCGATTACAGAGCCGGTGTGTTCTCGCAGAGGAGGGCCGGCGAACGAGAGAGAAGAGGGATTAGGGCCCAGGTCTGCGTCCCAGCCTTACCTTCCCCTCGTCTTCCTCATCATCCTCCCCCCTCCACCCATTCCCGTCCCGAGCGGCCGAGAGCCGGCGGAAGGGCGGTCGTTCTTGAGCGATCCCAGATGCCAGCCCAGCTGCTTGATGCTTTGGGGTGTGAGGAGTGGCTGTCGGTGGGATGCACACGCTTCTCTGCACGGCCCTTGCACTCTTGCGAGCGTTGCTCGACTCCGGTTCACCGCTTGTCTCGCAGAGGAGGGCCGGCGACCGAGTGAGGCGTGAGTGGAGGGCCGAGCGGCGATCGAGTGTCTGCAGCTTCGCTCCCACGCCGCGTCTTTTTCCGAGGGCTCAGGGCCGAGGTCGTCGTCCCAGCCTTACCCTCTCCTCCTCTGCAGCCTCCCTCTCGCCCTCCCTCCTTCATCCACTGTGTTGTAGCGGAGGGCCGGCGATCGATAGAGGCGACAGTCGAGGGCCGGCGAGCGAGCTCATCGATTTCTCTGCAGCATCGCTCTCTCGCCCAGTTGTTCCCGAGCGAGGAGGCTCCAGGTCTGCGTCCCGGCCTTCATTATTCCTCCTCCTCCCGTCCCTACTCCACAGTGCCCAGGCCGTTGCAGCAAACCCCTGTAGCGTTTGCCGGCCAAGCTGCGTATTGTTGAGGGTGGGGGTTCAGGATGGATCGGGAAGGGAGTGCCGTGCGTAGGTGCGAAGATTCCTCCTGCGAGTGCCGTGCGATGGATCTTCCTCCTCGGCCGACGGCCGCTTTGACGGCCACCTGTCTCGGCATAGAGTTTCCGCATGGTGTTCCCACTGCGGTACCGCCATGCCTCATAGATGCCAAGCTGAGTCGTTGCCATTCGCCGGCGACCTCGAGTAGGGAATGCGGTCTGCGTCCCAGCCTTCCTCCTTCCCGCTTTACGTATTTACTCCCCCCTCCCTCCCTCCGCCCCTCCGCCCGAATGCCCTGGACGGGCACAACAAGCCACTGTCGCAGCTTTTCGCGTTTGCCGTCCAGTTGCCCAGTTGAAGGGTGGGGGATTTTGCGTGGGGGTGGAAGGAATAAGGAGAGGTGGGTTTGGTGTACTGGTACTGTATACTGCAATCCTTAGGTGCCCGTGCGATATCACTATTTCAGTTGCATCGCTAGCCGCAGCGCCACCGTAACTCGACAGGCTAGTTGCCTCAACGAGCAGGCAATCCAAATCCCTCCCTCCCTCCCTCCCTCCTCTCTCCTCCCTCCTCCTTCCCCCGCCCTCCTTCCTCCCCCTCCCTGCGCGGCCAGGCGGCGCCGGGCGGGCCCACGGTCGGCCTCGTGGGCGGCCAGCTGGGCTCCTCGTCGGGGCGCGCGTTTGCTCGCTCTTGCTCCCTTGGGCGGGACGGGGCGGAGGAGGACGAGCAGAGGCTCGACGGACGAACAGCACGCACGCACGCACGCACGCACACACACACACATGCACGCACCCATACCCACAGGGGGGACGTAAGGGGCTCTGGGTGCGTGCTTCGGAGGCGAGCGAAGGGGGGGAAGTGAAAAGGAGAAGGTCTTCTCAGAAGGCGGCGGGGCTTCTCAGGAGGCCTCCGGCCTTCGGACAGGTTTTCTGTGTCTTCGGGGAGGGCTGGGAAAACTTCTCAGAAGGCCGGGGGACTTCCGAGCTCACCCCTTCTCATTTCCCCCCGCGCTCGCCGCCAAAACACACCCATGCCCCTATGGGGGGACGGAGGAGGCTATGGGTGCGTGTTGTCGCACAGTGGTCCCCGCCGCTCGAACGGGAGCTTCCCGCGGTCCGACAACTGGCACCCATACCCGTAGCCAGTCCTCCTCCAGACGACCCCCCTATGGGCATGGATGTGTGTTGTTCGTTGGTCAAGATTGGCGCTGGGGGCGGGGAGGATCGGATCGACTCGGTAGGAGGACGCGTCAAGCCTCACAGCGCAGCCTGAGGCCCCTCCGTTGTCGGAGGGTCCGCATGGACGGAATCTGCGCAGCTCAGAAACAGATGCGGCAGCACTCATACTCCGCCCTGTCCGGCGGACGACAACCGCCCAGGCCCTAATCATCCACCTTTGGGTCGGGAGGGTTTCTCCGAAGGGCTTAGGCGACCCGTCCTCCTCCTCCTCCTCCTCCTCCTCCTCCTCCTCCTCCTCCTCCTCCTCCTCCTCCTCCTCCTCCCTCCACCTCCTCCTCCCTCCATCTCCACGTCCACCTCCTCCTCCTTCTCCTCCTCCTCATCCTCCTCCTCGGGTCGCCTACGGCCCCGGGGGAAACCGTGCACCTTGGGCGGGGAGGAGGGAGGCGGAGGCATCGGAGAGCGGGTCGACTCGGCGGGAGGGAGCGCCCAGCGGCCAGAGGCCACCCCCTTTCCACCCTGGCCAGGCGGGGGCGTGGGGAGGAGGAGGAGGAGGAGGAGGAGGAGGAGGAGGATGAGGGAGGAGGAGGAGGAGGAGGAGGAGGAGGAGGAGGAGGAGGAGGATGACGCCGGAGGAGGAGGAAGAGGAGGAGGAGGAGGAGCAGAAGGAGGAGGAGGACGCCAGAGAAGGAGGAGGATGAGGAGGAGGAGGAGGAGGAGGAGGAGGAGGAGGAGGAGGAGAGAGCCGGTGTTGGGCCATCTCAGACCCCCAAGCCGGCTCCACGGGGGAGGCCACCTGTAGCGAGGAGGCCCCGCCCCACGCCGACGGCAGGCCTGGCCTACCGGTGGCAACAAACGCTGATTAATGTTCAGTCGGGCGTGTCCACCTACAGGAGGAATATCCCAAAATAGTACAAAAAATGGTCAGGGGACGATTTGCTGGGCATTATTCTTTGTAAACAAAAATTTCGTCCAAAGTCCCCCTGTAGGAGGACACGCCCGACCTGATGCTAAGCACTGATTGTTTTGTTTTTTGTTTTGTTTTTCGTTTGAGCGCATTTGGTTTTCCGTTCTAAGCGATGGTGTAAGCGATCGGGGGGAGGAGGGTCGAGGACCGAGGTCCTCGGGCGTTTCGATCTTGGGCCTCCGGGTGCCTCTGGGGGCTTGGGTGGGACCTCCGGAGGAGTTGGCGGCGCGCCGAAGGGGTATGGGGGAAGTGGCCCCCTTCTTACAGGCCAGGGGATTTTTTTGGACGGGACCAGAGGCTTCTAGGAAGACTCCCTAGAATGCAGGGGTGTGTTTGTGTGTGTGTGTGTGTGTGTGTGCATGAAGTCCCCCTGCCTTCTTAGAAATGGGGCGGAGGGGGCGGCCTTCTTACAGGTCATGGGACCTTTTTTTGGAAAGGTCCAGAGGCTTCTAGGAAGTGGGGCGGAGGGGGTGGACTTCTTACAGGCCAGGGGGCTTTTCTTTGAGACGGGAACAGAGGCTTCTAGAAGGCTTCATAGAAGGAAGGGGCTTATGTGCGCGAAGCCACCCTGCCTTCTTAGAAATGGGGCGGAGGTGGCGGCCTTCTTATAGGCCAAGTTTTTTGTTGGACGGGACCAGAGGCTTCTAGTAAGGCTTCCTAGAAGCCATGTGTGTGTGTGAGAGCGCACCAGGGACCACAGATGTGGGAGGAAAATCAGTACTGGTCGCTGGCGGTGCAAGTGCGATCGCTGCCCTAGCAGTGAACCAGCTCACGAGTGTCAGTGCGGAAGCGCCCCCAAAGGCCTTTTCATCGTCCGCCTTGGGGACCGGGCCCCCGACTCTGCTACTCACGGCTTCCCATCTGTTGAAGAAGGGAGGACCTTCTTCTCAAGCAAGAAACGGAACGCAACGTGGTGCTGCGCACGCTGCCTGGTGGACCTCTGGAACGCCCGTACCAGCGACGTCCAGGCAATCTTCTTCGCGCTTCGCGTATCCCCACCAGCCTCAAATCACCTCCCCAATGAGTTCCACTGGCAAGGTAAGCGACTCGCTGCCGCCCGCGTGGTCGCACACCTCTGCGCTCACTCGTTCGACAGCACAATACGACCTAAATGGCTCCAGCATGCTAACCAATGGTCCGTGCGCGGCACTTCCCCACTCCGCCACACGTTGGATACTCTTGTGGGGTTCCTGACACAGCTCAGCTCCGACAGACTCGCCTCT